AAAAGGGGGGAGAGGGAGAGAGAAGGGGATAGGGAGAGAGAGAGAAGGGGGGGGGGGAGAAGGGGGGGGGAGAGGGGGAGAGAGAGAGAGAGGAGAGGGGGGGAGAGGGAGAGAGAAGGCGGGAGAGGGTGGAGGGAGAGAGGGTGGAGGGAGAGGGGAGGAGGGAGAGAGAGAGAGAGAGAGAGAGAGAGAGAGAGAGAGAGAGAGGGGGGGGATAGGGTGGAGGGAGAGATAATTGAGAGAGAGAGTGGAGAGGGGGAAGTGAGAAAGGGGGGAAATATGGGGGAGAGAGCGAGGGGGAGAGAGGGGGAAGAGAAGGGGAGACAGATGGGGAAGAGTGAGGAGGGAGAGAGGGGGGAGAGAGAGGGAGAGAGGTAGGGGGAGAGGGGTGAGGGAGGGGGTATTTATGAAAGAGGGAGAGAGAAGATGGGAGAGGGTGGAGGTTGAGAGAGAGAAGGGGGAGAGGGTGGAGGGAGGGAGAGGGGAGAGAGAGTGGAGAAGGGGAAAGAGAGAAGGGGAGGCAATATGGGGGAGAGAGGGGGGAAGTGGGAGAGAGAGGTGGGGGAGAGGGGGGGAGAGGGGAAAGGAAGGGGAGACAGAGGGGGAAAAGTGAGGAGGGAGAGAGGGGGAAGAGAAGGGGAGACAGAGGGGGAAGAATGAGGAGGGGAGAGAGGGGGAAGATAAGGGGAGACAGAGGGGGAAGAGTGAGGGGGAGAGGGGGGGGGAGAGAGAGGAAGAGAGAGAGGTAGGGGAGGGAGAGGGGCGAAAGAGATGTGGGGAGAGAGGTGTGGGGACAGGGAGGGTGAAGAGAGAGGACGAAGAGAGGGAATAGAACGAGGAGGGAGATAGGTTTGGGAGAGTTAGGAGGGTGAGAGGTAGGTGGAGGGGTAAAGAACAAGAGAGGGGAGATAGAGAGAGGGTGAAAAGAGTGAAAGAGTGGGGAGGGTGAAAAGAGTGAAAGAGTGGGGACAGAGAAAAGAGGAAAGAGGGAGAGTGTGAAAGAAGATAAATTAATGGATAGAGGGAGAGAGGGGGGAGAGAGGGAGAAAGGGAGAGGAGGGGGGAAAGAGAGAGGAGAGAGAAAAGGAAGCATGAGGAAAAAGAGAAGGGAGAGGGGAGGTGGGGGAGAGAGAGGGGGTGGCCATGGCAGTGAAAAGTTACCCCCCATTCTCCCAACATCACTTACCTGATCACATGCTCCTGTACCACTTTATCCCCCCAGTTAGGACTTTACTTGTACTGTGGGTGGGGATACCTCTGTCCACAATACAGTCTTTCAGTACCGGGGGATGGTACACGGAGTGTTCCAGTGTCTAGCACCCGCTGCCACTCTCTTCCTAACTGCTTCCCAGTAGCTCATGGGCCGCGCACAGAGGTCTGGTGGTCACCAAACTGCTGAAGGAAACTTTTAAGATGCTTTATACAACAGGTTCCCTTTCTAGAATGTCTTAAAGCGGAACTTCCTCTTTTGGGTGGAGCTCTGCTTTAAGGACTACTCCCCCACTCCCCATTAAGGATTGGCACTTTTGGGGAGCGGGTACCAGAATTTGACAGGTACCCGCTCCCACTTCCAGTCCGATCGCCTAAGCCAGTGGTCGGCAAGCCGCGGCTCGCGAGCCACATGCGGCTCTTTGCACACTTTAATGCGGCTCTTCTGTGTGTGCCGGGCGCCCGCTCCCCTCCCTCCTCTCGGGCGGCCGCCCCAAAAGTCAGGACTCTGCAGCTAGCCCAGCAATGGGCAAACTACGGCCCGGCGGACCTTTTAATCCGGCCCGCGGAGCGTGGCAAACATTGGCTGTCAGGATGTAGGCGGGGCAGCGTGACGAACTCCTCTCCTCTCACAGTCCGCCCTGAAGACCGGAAGACCGGAACGGCGCGGGAACACGGCGAGAGGAACGCGCGGAGCAAAGGTAAGTGAATTGACACAATATGGGGAATGAATTACTATATGAGGGATGAATTACTATATGGGGAATGAATAACTATAGGGGGGATGAATTACTATAGGGGGGATGAATTACTATATGGTGGATGAATTACTATATGGGGGATGAATTACTATATGGGGGATGAATTACTATGGGGGATGAATTACTATATGGGGGATGAATTACTATGGGGGATGAATTACTATGGGGGATGAATTACTATATGGGGGATGAATTACTATGGGGGATGAATTACTATATGGGGGATGAATTACTATAGGGGGGATGAATTACTATATGGGGGATGAATTACTATGGGGGATGAATTACTATATGGGGGATGAATTACTATGGGGGATGAATTACTATATGGGGGATGAATTACTATGGGGGATGAATTACTATGGGGGATGAATTACTATATGGGGGATGAATTACTATGGGGGATGAATTACTATATGGGGGATGAATTACTATATGGGGGATGAATTACTATGGGGGGATGAATTACTATATGGGGGATGAATTACTATGGGGGATGAATTACTATAGGGGGGATGAATTACTATGGGGGATGAATTACTATATGGGGGATGAATTACTATGGGGGATGATTACTATGGGGGATGAATTACTATATGGGGGATGAATTACTATGGGGGATGAATTACTATATGGGGGATGAATTACTATATGGGGGATGAATTACTATGGGGGGGGATGAATTACTATAGGGGGGATGAATTACTATGGGGGGATGAATTACTATGGGGGATGAATTACTATATGGGGGATGAATTACTATATGGGGGATGAATTACTATGGGGGATGAATTACTATATGGGGGATGAATTACTATGGGGGATGAATTACTATATGGGGGATGAATTACTATATGGGGGATGAATTACTATGGGGGATGAATTACTATAGGGGGGATGAATTACTATGGGGGATGAATTACTATGGGGGATGAATTACTATAGGGGGGATGAATTACTATGGGGGATGAATTACTATATGGGGGATGAATTACTATGGGGGATGAATTACTATATGGGGGATGAATTACTATGGGGGATGAATTACTATGGGGGATGAATTACTATGGGGGATGAATTACTATATGGGGGATGAATTACTATGGGGGATGAATTACTATGGGGGATGATTTACTATATGGGGGATGAAATACTATGGGGGATGAATTACTATATGGGGGATGGATTACTATGGGGGATGAATTACTATATGGGGGATGAATTACTATGGGGGATGAATTTACTATATGGGGGATGTATTTTCAGTTTTAAAAATGTGGCTCTCAAAATAAATTTCAGTCGTGGTTTTGGCGAGATTTGGCTCAGTTGAAAAAAAAGGTTGCCCACCACTGGCCTAGGCGATCGGAAGCAGAAGGTGTCCTCCCTCCCTTTAGTCTTTTGGGACACGTGACAGGTCCCAGAAGACTACAGGACTATTCATAATGTGCAGCACTACTCGCACATGCGCAGTGGGTACCCGGCTGTGAAGCAGCAAGCTATCACAGCCGGGTGCCCACACTAAAGATGCCGGCCTCCTGGAATACAGGACGACTGGTGAAATGGGCTGCGGGGGACACACAGGTAAGTGGCTGTTTTTTAAAAGTCAGCAGCTACAGTTTTTGTAGCTGCTGACTTTTATTTTTTGATAGGTTGAGTGGAACTCCGCTTTAAGATGTGATGGAAGTCCTCGGAGTGTGGGGTCTCCTTGGAAGGTTGTGCAGTGTTGGACAGACAATGGGTCTCCTAGCAGAGAATTTCAGGATGTGTGACAGTTCGGCTGATACAGTATTTCCTAATAACAGAAGATAACGTTTCTTGTAATTGCTGACATACAGCTTTCCATAATAACGGAAGAGAATGTTTCTTTCTTTCTCTTCATTGTTGATGTACGGATTGCTTCTAAATCAATGTAGAAGATGTTTTAGGAGATCCATAACAAATGTCCAAGGAAGGTTATTTTAGTGCACACAAACACAATCTACTTCCCAATTCTTTGGTAAAATATAAAAGACGAGGCTGTGTTGAGTAAACAGATACTTAACATGTCAAGCTTTAAAATTGTGTGCTTTTCCAAATGTTAGGCAATGCTATAAAATCCCCTACAGGTCATCAGCATGGAGTTAACCACAAATAAAGGGCCTAGAATGATTAATTTCACTGGCTGCATGAGTGGGGATATGTAACGTCTAGCACAGGGGTGGGCAACTGTGGCCCTCCAGCTGTTGTAGAACTACAAGTCCCATGAGGCATTGCAAAACTGACAGTTACAAGCATGACTCCCAAAGGCAGAGGCATGATGGGACTTGTAGTTCACCAACAGCTGGAGGGCACAGTTGCCCACCCCTGGTCTAGCACAAGTGACTTTTCATTTGTAGGCATCCCTCATCAGGCGAGTCTATGCCATGGGGGGCAGGATAGTCTCCACATTTTTGGGGCGGTTTATATGACTTAATATTCTTTTATACTTTTTTCCATGGGGACATCCCCTGTGATATCATGTCTTTGGAACAGTTTCTCTTTAGTAAGACATTTTTGGGGGACCCCTGTTGTCTCACCTGTCCTTTATCAAAGCTAATGGGTGCAGATGTTGCTCTTGTAGTGCTTCTTGAGGGCCGCTTTAGAATTTCCCTTAGGTTGCCCTGACCTTCACCTCCTGACACCTAAGGACAAAATAATGCACAAGTAACCACAATTTCAAAGAGAATTTACTAATTGTTCTTTAGCTGCAGACAGTTAAAGCAAATACTTCTTAACCTCTTGCCGTCCGCCTGCTGTTTATAAACGGCAGGGCGGTGGCAGTCCAAGGTCGGGTTGCCGTTCCTAAACGGCACCCGCCTTTTTAGCTGTGCGCGCTCCCTAGGAGCGCGCACCAGCGCGATCCGGTGGCTGTGTCCTCCGGACACAGTGAAACACCGATCGTCGGACGGGACCTCTGTACGAGGTCCCGGTCATGTGATCACTGATTGGCGAATCAGTGATCAATGGTAGTGAGCAGATGTCACTTGTGACATCATTGCTACTACGTGTGAAATCTGTGAATGATCACAGAGGTCACATGGTACAAGGCTATTCACAACAGCCTCATGTGACAAGCTGTGACCAATCACAGCTCACTGTATTTCTCAATGACTGCAAGAATGCAGATAGAGAGAAAAGAAATGATTGCTTTTACCCTATATGGGTGTAAAAGCAATCAGTGTAAAAAAAAAAAAAAAAAAAAAACCCATGACCCCCCTACAGTGTCACCATGGTGACACTGTACTGCTAGGGTGACAGTATGTAAAAATAAAAAATAAAAATAAAAAATAATATAAAAAAAAAATAAAATAAAAATGTAAAAAAAAAATGTTTAAAAATTATAATGTTTTATTATAAACTAATTTGGATTTTTTTTTTTACTAAAAAAATAACGGAATAAATTTTGGCCAAGATTTAGGATGAAATATTATTTATTTGCAAAATTTTATAAAAAAAAAAACACTTTTTTTTTCAAAATTTTTGGACATTTTCATTTACATAGTAAAAAAAAATAAAAATCCCAGCGGTGAATTTACCACCAAAATAAAGCTTTATCTGTCTCAAAAAAATGGTAAAAAATTCATATGGGTTACAGTATTGCATGACCCGCGCAATTGTCATTCAAAGTGTGATAGCGCTGAAAGCTGAAAATTGCCCTGGACAGGAAGGGGGTTAAAAGTGCGGACAGGAAGTGGTTAAGACAGTAACCAGCAGTAGTGAACACAACAAGTCAACATTGTTTCAGATATAATTAAAGAGAGCCTTTGACCTCAGGTATGAAAGGAAGGAGAGAAAGACTTTTCTTCAGTGTCAAACTGCTCTCTTAGAATCCTGATGACACACAAATTTTTCAACACTCTTTGGGAGAGCTAGATATATAATATATGCTATACACAAATTCTAAATAGAGTTCCCCTTTAATGTACGCACTGAGGTGAAGCACAGAGTCCTTGGCTTGAAGAGTAGTGAAAGGGAGTCTTGATGGAATGAGTGTCCTGAATATCCTGCCAGTGCATTAGAGCCCAATGTGATTGCTGTGCAATGGTGCTCAGCAATCCCTGATAATGCCAGTGAATGGCTCCAATAAAGGGGTCAGAGGGGAAGGAAGGAAACTGGGGAGGGGGCGGTATAGGCAGGCATACTACAGGTGTGGAAGCTCCAGGGACACAACAATTATAATCAGCCCCGAAAAGGGTATAAGCATGAGTCAGACAATCGGGTTCATTGAACATGAGGTAAACCATGAGGTGACCAGCGTAAAGGGTAGGATAGAATATCTCAACAACCTTAAAAAAAGGTCGAGGGGAGATGTGATGAAGAAAGCAATGTGGGAATGCAGGTTCAGCACAAAGTCAAGTGGAAAGACCCATAAGGGAATGGTATTCGGAGGTCGTTTGAAAGTGAGTCCAGCAAGACCAGATATGGGAAAATTTGAGTTGAGTTATTTTGTGATGAAGCAATCAGCTCATCCATCTCTGCAACTCTTCCCAAACGTGTGAGCCAATCTCGTATTGAAGGGGGGTGGGTAGATCCCCAGAGAACAGGTAGACAGAGTCTAGCTGCATTGAGCATATGCATAGTGAGTGATCTGAATAAAGGCGTCTGGGAAGAGGGGAATAGTGAAGGAGAAATTGCGCCGCAGAGAAATCGAGAGGTATAGTGGATACTGACGAGGTTATATGGTGAACTTCCTGCCAGAAGGGCTGGATAGTTGGGAAAGACCACCAGATATGGAGAAGAGACCCATTGGGTGCTCCACATCTCCATCAGGGAGGGATTATAGCAATGGATTCTAGAGGGGGTATTATACCAACGGGAGGCCAGTTTGTATCCAGTTTGTATCCATTTTCTTGCATTGATACATTCAGTGAGCATTTTTGGGAGTATGTAAACATTTGGTCCCAGTCCAAGGAGGAGAAGTCTATTTCCAGGTCCCTGCTCCAAGCTCGGCAGGTGGGGAGTGAGTTATGATTCCCATCGCCAAATAGGAGGAGGTAAACTAATGAGATTAGATGCCCCTGGAGTTCGGCTTTAGAGCAAATAGATTCAAAGGGGGTAAGAGGGCGGATCCATTTGTGATGCTGTGCATGAGAGTGAAGAAAAGGCTTAATTTGAAGGTAAGCCAAAAAGGGGAAGGTGTAGTCCCTCATGATATCCGCCAAAGAGCAGTAGGATTTCAGTTGTCCTTTTTGGAAAAATTGTTCTGCTTTCATCTGGCTATGTGACCAATGTTTGGACAGAAAGACCTTGTGCATGCCAGGTTTAAGCGGAGAGAGGTTAAAGGGTTAGGAGCGTCCGTAATGGAGGCCGAATTGCAGGCCAAATGGATGATTTTCAGGGTAGGTCCAATCAGTGGATGTGTGAGGAGGGCCTGAGGGGTATTTTTCTCCAGAAGCCAGGGAATCGATGCTATGGGGGAGGGGGAGAAAGAGTTTTCTAAATGCACCCAAGCTTTGGTGGTCGAATGAGCATTCCAATCTATGATTCTGGAAAGATGGCAAGCCCAGTGATATCGTTGTAAGTCTGGGAGCCCAATCCCTCCTTTGGATTTGGGGAGAACCAATTGGGAAAATGAAATGCGTGGGCGCTTGTGGTTCCAAATAAACAATGAGCACATTCTTCTACATGAAGTGAAAAAGGCAGGTGGCAATTGAATAGGTAGGGTTTGCAAAAGATAGAGGAGGCGGGGGAGTATGTTCATTTTTAGTATAACGGCCCTCCCGAACCAAGAGAAGCATGGTTGGTGCCACTTAGTTAGATCCTGAAGTATATATCATCTCCCAGAATTCTACTTCCTCTTCCAGCTGGCTTGAACTTGTAGTTCACAACAGTATTGGTCCCTCTGCAAATCCAACCTTTGAAACTACATATCCCACAATCTTCGGCTCTTTTGTTGAGCCCTCCTCTTTCTCCCATGCCTCTTAACCACATAAGTCACTATCACAGTTGCACACAAGAGGGAGCGCTAGCTCAGCATAGTTCTTATTATGAATGTCTTGCGATGGCACAGGTAAGCTAGCCAGCACTGGGCCACATCTTCTTACCTTCTTCCCTGGGGACAGCGGCTGGGGAAAGTGACACCCGCAAACAAGAAGTGATGTTATGCATGTTACTTCTTGGTTCTTTGCAGATAGGAGAGACCAGAAAATGGGCATTTAATGGCCCTCTTCTCCTCCATCTAGTGGCACCTATCTTGTAGGTTTCAGGCCTGCAGGTGGGAAAGCAGAGCCCCAGAAGCATAGTGGAGGGAGGTTGCATAGGAGGCACACTTCCGGGGGTCAGAGAAAGCTGGGAGCGTGTGTAAAACCCCCTTTCTGTCAGCGACATAAGCCTTGTATCCGTGGCAGTGAAAGAGTTAACAGAGCAACCTTTAATGAAGATCCTAGCATAAAACTTGACTCATGCATCATTTTTTTCTTGATGTTTACTTGTACTTTGTAACTTTCTCTTCCAATAAAATTTTCAAAGCCTTTTCACCATGAGCAGAGGCTGTTGTCATTATCGATGAAAACACCTTGTAGGTCGCGGTCAGTGTCTCCTGACTGCTACTGTCCATTGAGGAGTGCTGTGTGCCACGTGTGACTAAGTTATTCCATAGGCACCTTTATTGTGCCATTAAGACTTGTTTCCTGGCTTCATTCAGAGGTCTTCAGGAATAAATGCAGAGTTAAGCCATTTGTGGTTTTGTCCATCTTTTGGGTGAATTGGTCTACATCTACATGTCCATGGACAGCTTGGAAGAGCTAAGGATGTCAATTGGATATTTTGAAAAAATTGAAACCTGATACCAAGGGATGGGATTTTAGAATTAGAGCAGGGAGACGTCACAAAATATTCACCTCCCATCTTGTTCTTGGACAGTCAACATCTTCATGTTCTATGGTGGTTGGATAAAGGTGACTGACTTACCTGTGTGGCATCACAAGTCCATGGAAAGTGTTACTCTGATGGCGAACAAAGTCCAACCAAGTTATTAACCACTTTCCATCTGCCATGTGCCATGGATGGGTGGCAGCTACAGGAGCAGCAACATACTCGTACGTCACTGGTGTTGTTCCCCCCGCATCTTCTGTGCCCACCAGACACAGCCAAATGAAAACCCTGGTGAACGGGACCTGGTGGTTATGTGATCGCTATGCAATTACATGATCACAATGACAACAAATCTGTTATGAATCAATCTGATTCAAACCAGCTCTGCTTCTTTTGCTTGTGAGCTGTGATGGGCTCACAGCTCTCACTTGATGCATGGGACCAATCACAGCACCCCGTACCATGTGACCAGCTGCAGCCAATCACAGATCACTGTATTTTGAGCTGTCATGAACTTAACCCATTCATGACAGTTCAAAGCAAATATTGTTTTACAGGGCAATGAAAAAAAAAACCCCTGATCCCCCCCCCCTACAGAATTGCACAATGTTACTATGGTAACATTATACTAATCTGATGAAAGTATTTTTAAAAAAAGTAAAAAAGAGAAAAATAATGTTTAAAAAAATTTACAAAAATTTTATTCAATATTTTTGTAAAATTTTTATTTACTACTTGCCGGTTGCCCGTCCACAATGTGCGAGGGAGCTGCAGCTCTGGGAAAAGTGACGTACCCTTACATCGCTTTCTATTTTCTGGGTGTGCATGTGCCCCCCCCCCCCCCCCCCCCACTGCTCCCTATGTTGCTACAGGGAAAGAAGAATGTAACAATTTTTGCATGTACAATTATTTTATATGTATACACGGTAGTAGAAATACTTTGAAGGTTTTAAGATGAGATTAAAAATAAAGATCATTATAACTTTTATTGGATGTTTGTTGCCTGTAAAGTCCCATTGATATTGGGGGGGGGAATTCATCTGCGTATATTCCTAGAAAAGGGATGTGGGCATGTGTATGGGGAACCTCTCTCATTTGTTTGTATATACTACTGAGAGACCATTAAATGATGAACATGTTGGATGAGACACATGACTCTGCGTGATTCCATGTTCCCAAGTGCACTTGACAGGTGTTGGCAATGCAGCAAATATATATAAATATAATAAAGCCATGGTTACTTATTTTTTATAGAAGATAAATTATAAGGTAATACTTTCTAACACCTAATCCGCCTCACAATAAATCGGTCACATTCAATTGACCCCTTTTACCATTCATAGAATAAAA